CCTGTCCTATCCCATCCATCCAATCCATCCAATCCATCTATTCCATCCATACAATCACCTGTCCTATCCCATCCATCTAATCCATCTAATCCATCTATCCCATCCCATCCATCAGTCTTCTCCTGTCTGTCTCCCCCTTCTTGCCTGGTCACCTTCCATGTGTGTACCTCCTCATGGCAGAAATCCCTACCATGCTCCATGGCTGCCTCATGATCTCCCTTCCTGACCCAGGCAGGCCAGGCCTTAGCCCTCTTTCTTCCTATGGCCCTGAGTGTACAGGTGGGCTTGTCACCTTGGAGGAATGCATCAGATGGCTCTGGCCTTCACACATCCCTGGGCAGTGGGCGAACAGTCCTCTTGCCTAGCCATCACCCCACCAGGAAGCCCCTGTGGCCCCGGGACATACCTGGCGCCCTGCCTCATTGTTGTGGCGGTTCATGGCTGAGCGGGCATCTGGCCGGTTCTCCCGGGCATCTGCAAATTCTCGGGACACCATCCCGCCGAACTCGATGTCCTCGCTGCAACCGCCCCACTTCCAGCCCTCACCTGGTGTGCCCTGGTGGCGGGTGCTACAGCCGCAGATGGCAGCCGAGCCCTCCGCACAGGAGCGGGTCACGGCAAAGGCCACACCGGCTGAGGCAATGGCATGAACAAAGGCGGACTCCCGGGTGGCTGTGGACAGAGAAGAGATGGGCCTTAGCGGGCAGGGTGGGGGCTGGGTGGGGGCATGGTGGGTGCCCATGAACTAGGACCAAGGAGGAGAGCTTCTCAGAGAGCAGCCATGGAGGCTTCGCTGCCTGTGCCTTGGGTCTCATCCATAAAATCCTTGCCCATTGATATCCTGAATCATCACCTCTGCTTGCTGCTAATTGTTTCATAGTTTCAGGTCTTCCACTGAAGTCTTTTGTCCAGTTGGAGCTGTGTACATGGCAAGAGGTAAGGACTGGCTGTCATTCTTCTGCATGTGATTCCCAGCCTTCCAGCCCTATTTATGGAAACATCTGTCCTTCCCCCAGCATATGTTCTCCAGGCCTTTGTTGAAAATCAATTGGTTGTTGATGTGTGGATTTGTATCTGTGATCTCTATTCTGTTCCATTGGTCAGTTTTTATGCTAGTACCATGCTGTCTCAGTTAGAATGGCTTTGTAGTATGCTCAGCCCTAAAAAAGGATGAAAACCTGTCATTTGTGATAATATGGGTAGAACTGGAGGACACTGTGTTAAGTGAAATAAATCAGGATAGAGAGACCAGCACATGTGTTGTGGGAGCTAAAAACTTGATCTCAAAAAGTAGAAAGTGGGGGGCTGGGGATTTAGCTCAGCGGCAAAAGCGCCTGCCTGGCAAGCGCAAGGTCGTGAGTTCGGTTCCTGGTACTGGAGAAAAAAACCAAAAACAAAACAAAAAAAAAAGTAGAGAGTGGGAGAGGAGAAAGGAAGGGGGTTAAGGAGAGGTTACCAAACAATCCAAAATTGCACTTAGATAAGGGGAATAATTTTTTTATTTTATGAAAAAGAGTAAAACAAAATTTCATAACAAAATAATAGGAGAATAACAATAGTTAATACATTGAGTATTGTTACTCAAAGTACAAGATATGGGCATAAACTAGTAGTATGACTATCTTGTATTTTGTTTTTTCCTTTCCCCCTTCCTTCCTAAGGGGAATAAATCCTGATTAACGTGTTAGCTTTTTGTTTCTGTGACAAAATCATCTTAAAGTAGCACGGAATTATTTTGGCTCATGGTTCCCAAGGTTCTAGCCCATGGTCACGGGGCTCTGTTGCTTGTGGGCCTGTGGTAAGACAGAATATCACGATGGGGAGCAAATCAGCCACCTGGTTCTGGGCAGAAGGCTGGGAGAGAGTCGCAAAGGGGCCAGGGATGCATTACACCTCCAAGAGCATCCCCAGAGACCCACTCCAACCAGGCGCCGCCTCCCACCATTGCCTGCACCTTCTATGAGTCCGTGCTCTTCTGAATTCTCCACAACCCAGCCATCCCCACACACTGCCGCAGCAGGATCCAAGCCTTCAGCACTCGAGCTCTCAGGGAAATTTTAGATCCACACCAGCACATATGACTGCAGTCTGCTCGCCCCACAGATGTAGACACAGAGGACTACATCTCTCTCCACTGCCACCCGATCATCTGCCTTTGTCCATGCCATTACCTCAGCTGGTGTGGCCTTTGCTGTGACCTGCTCCTGTGCAGAGGGCGCAGCCGCCGTCTGTGGCTGTAACACCCACCACCAGGGCACACCGAGTAAGGGGTGGAAGTAGGGTGGCTGCTGCAAATGATAACTTGCCATGTATTTTAAAATAGCTAAAAGAGAGGATTTTGAATGTTTTCATCAGAAAAAGTGATGCTTGAGACATGCTAAAAACTTGATTTGATCATTTTAGAACGTATTCCTATACTGAAATATAACAAACACTATGCTCCATGAATAGGTGCAATCATTATATTTCACTAAAAGTTAAACGAATAGAAAAAATTACACCAGGGCCAAGAGGCACTTGGGAAGATTCTCAATACCACTTGTCACGGGGCAATGTACACCAAGGCCAAATGAAGCCCACTTCATTCCTGGGGGATGGCCCAAATCAAGACGCCAGGCCTGCAGGGGTCGGCAAGGCACGGAGGAACCGGCAGCCTCGTGCACAGCTGGGTGAAAGGAATCTCGTTTCCTCCTCTTGGACAACTTTGGGCACACACACCCCACCGGACATGGGTCTCTACTTCAAGGGAAACTGATTCCCAGAGAGGCTCAGAACCAAATACAACAGCACCCGGTACCACAAGAGCCCCAGACTGCAAGCCCACATTCCCACCAACAGGTGGCTGAAAATTCATGGGCGTCCATCACAAAGAATTTACTTAGACCTGTGGTGGTCCCCCCTTAGCAGAGGAGTCAGCTACCCGTGGTCAACCACAGTCTGAAACCACAGAATGAAACACTTCACATGTTTTAAGTGGCACACTGTTCCAAGGGGTGTGATGAAACCTCACGTCCTCCTGCTGTTTTCTGTGAGATATGGCTTGACTGGGATGTCCTGAACTCGTCACCTCATGCCCCTAGATTATCCGACCAATAGGTGCAGTATCATAGTACTTGTGTTCAAGTAACCATTGTTTTACCTAAGGGTGGCCCCAAAGCACAAGAAAAGTAAAGCTGGCCATTTGCATATGCCAAGAAGAATCCAGAAAAAGCTCCTTTCAGGTGTAAAGAAGAGAGCTCTAGACTCTGTGAGGAAAGAAAAGAAATCATAATGGCCAGGCGTGGTGGCGCATGCCTGTAATCCCAGCACTCGGGAGGCTGAGGCAGGAGGATCATTGCGAGTTTGAGACCAGCCTGGGCTACAAAGTGAGCTCAAGGCCAGCCTGACCTGCATAGTGAGACCCTGTCTCAGAAAGACGGAAAAAAAAAAAAAAAGAAAAGAAAAGAAATCATGCTGAAGCCTGGCTGAAGGTGGCCGGCAATACCGGTGCTACCTATGCTACAGTCTAAATACGGGACTGTCTCAAAATTTCCACCATACTTTTCTGTCTAGTGAAAATCTGTTCAGACTCAAAACTCTTAACACATTGTAGTCAAATGTATGGAAAGGAAGGAAGGAATCACGTGACAAAACTATTCTATAAAAGAAGCAAACCCACCAGGTGTGGTGGTGCATGCCTGTAATCCTAGCACTCAGGAGGCTGAGGCAGGAGGGTCACCATAAGTTTGAGGCCAGCCTGGATTACATAGTAAGTTCAAGGCCAGCCTGGACTGCAGAGTGAGACCTTGTCTCAAGAAAAAAAAAAAAAAAAGAAGAAGAAGGAGAAGGAGAAGAAAATGAAGAAGAAAAAGAGAATGAAAGAGAGAAAGAAAAAGAAGAAAATCCATCCAGGGAAGCCAGCTTCCCCAGAGACTTACTGTGATATCATATAGCAATTATTAATTGGGCACTTCTTGCAAAGTGTCAGTTACCTGTCTTTTCTTCCTTCTATCCATCTATCATTACCCATCACTCACCACTCATCCATCTACCACCCACTCACCATCCACCCATCCATCCGTCTATTATGCACCATTTGTCTATCATCCACTCACCACCCATCCCTTCACCCCACCTCCATCCACCCATCCATCCATCCA